CACAACAACTATTATAAACAATTGACAAAAACAAAAATATCAATACAAATCACAATTTTTTTAAGAATTAGCAAAGAATAATATGTAAAATTGTATATTTGTAAAATAGGGAGTCAGCGAAAGGTAAACATACACGAGTTACACAATATCTCATAGTGTTCATAACAACTTAATTTCATAACCTAACAAAACAGCATAAATAAGAAGATAGCGGCCTCCGTCCCCACTCCATGCAAAACGTTCTTGGCATCGAGTGTCCTTTCTGATTTTATCTATTCTGTGATATAACTACGCACGCGCAGGGAACTCGCAGAGGTTTACGCGCGACACACGTACCCGCAGGGACACCGCGGTAGTGCACGCATGAACGCATGCACACTGGATCGGGCATAAACACCGCCCATCTTCGAGTCATTGGTGGGAGATGCGCAGCGACTGATGAAAACTGGTCGGCCGGAGTGACCGTTCTCTTTTGGAACAGAGTATACATACAAGAAAACAAATTAGTTCAGCACCACCAAATCCAGCAACATTAACTGATCTAAGTATTCCAGATGTGTATAAAAAAATCTGTAAGTGGTGATCCATTTTTATTATACGATAGTTTTGAGGAAAATGTTAATAATTAACGAATTTTATTGTTTTCAACGTTAAGAAATTTGGAATTATTACATAATAGTTATTATTGGATTGCCGATGGTACATTTTCATGCGCTCCAAAATTGTTTACTCAACTTTACACGATACATAGTATTATAGATGCAAATGTGATATCATTAGTTTACGTTCTTTTGTCCGATAAATCTGAAGATACATATCGCCGAATGATTGTGGCATTAAATTCGATTAAATCTAATCTTAATCCAAAAATTTTTATGTTAGATTTTGAAAAGGCTGCCATGAATGCTATAGTACACATTTACCCTGAAACTCAAATTAAGCGTTGTTTTTTTCACTTGGGCCAATCTTTTTGGTGTCATATTAAAAGTTTGGAACTTCAAAAAAAAATATTCAGAAGATCCAGAATTTTCATTATGTTTACGTAAATTATTGGCATTAGCTTATGTCCCGAAAAATAAAGTTATTGATTGTTTTGAATCATTTAATTAATACAGAGTTTTACGAAAAAAATAAAAACTCATTAACTGAACTCCTAGATTATTTTGAAGATACATACATCGGTAGACTAAACAGGAGAGGTCATAGAAAACCTGCATTATTTAATATTAGTATTTGGAATTGTTATGAATTAATCCAAAAAGACATTCCACGCACAAACAATGCAATAGAAGGTTGGCATAACGGTTTTAATTCTATGTTGAATGCAGTCCACCCGTCCATATGGACATTTATTAACGCATTGAAAAAAGAAGATAATTTAAATCAATTCAAAGTTGAACAAGCAATTGCTGGATATTCAGTTCCAAAAAAAAGATAATATGAAGATTCAGCTCTACGTATTCAAAATTTGGTATTGCAATTTGAAATTAAACCTGTTGACGAATATTTAAAAGGCATTGCTGCAAATTTCCAACTACAAATATAATATACTTCGATTTTTCGACTAGGTTTTATTAAAATTGTATTTTTATGTTAACTTTGATTTTTTGACTAGATTTTATAAAAATTGTATTTTTTAATTGCCTTTGCGCTCTTATTATATGCGCTATTTTTGCTAACGCGAATAAATTGCTCGCGACCAAATGACCTCGCTCCCTTGACGCACGCTCATTTTACCGCGACCAAATGACGTGGAACCATTATTATGATTACCCATTATAATATATGTTACTACTTAATAATATTAATGGTTATACATTAAAAAGTTTAAAATGTTGAGTTATATTTGTTTAATGCATTATTAAATACAAATAATAAGTCACTTTTGTCACTGAATTTTATTATTAAGTCACTTTTATCACTTTTTATTTATACCCTATATACTTGCAGCCCTGATAATATTCAACTTGCACACTGACTGTGGTGAACTCATGTCCTCATGTATGCCATGGTCGATGGTCTCTAATACCACAATCATTACTTTTGTTTTTTGTACTCAGGTAATTCCTAAACAAAATAGAGTCATGTAGTTTTGTCCGAATTCCCGATGTCTTTCTTCGTCCGGACTCGAATCACTTGACGAGCACACACGTAAATTATAATAATGTTAATGGTGTATCTGCAATAAATTCAGTACATTATTTCTAATGGTGAACTCAAGTATTTTATAATATATATTATTTTTTTTACATTATAGTAACTAATAAAAATTAAAATGTTTCAAGCAAATAAATTTTTTTTTTTTAATTTTATATATGTACACAAAAATAAGCATACTGTAACGTTCGTTGCACCATTAATTGTGTGTTATACACACTCAACACTTTTCCACCTACACTGAAAAAAATATCTTAGGTAAAATTAACAAATCAATTTTGTAATTAAATAACGAACATCTTTTTTTTAAAAAGGTACTATAAGAATAGCGTTGAAATAACAATTAAATTATACAATTAAGGAACTCATTATAGGTAAACTAAACTAGTTGAACCGTGCACTTCGTAGCCCGTTAAAAATCCTATCTCTTATTATGGTTCATTGGTTCACTTTGTTATTTTGTCATATACGACTCTTTGTTGTGCATTAATGTGTGTCTATATATAAAAAAAAAATATCTATATCTATATCTATAATCATACTTAAAAATGTGCATTTAAAGCTACATACATTATTACTTCGTACCACCTAACAGTCAATTCTTTAATTTTTAATTTTTATTAATACCTACTTATTCTGCTATTCAGGACACCGGCTAATAATAAAAAAGAAAGTTGATAAATCAACTATTACATTATATCAAAAAATAAAAAATATAAAACACTTAAAATTGACGCGGGCCCCCGTAATAGCCGTTTGAATTCAAACGGCCTTTGCGCGGCAAACCGCGCAATTACTTCTCTTTTCAACCGCCAATCGACGACGGACGACACCGACACGCGAT